GTATTAGGGCTGTTTTCATGCCAAGAGATGAACCTAGTTTAGGCTCAACTTAGCATTCCTCATCTCTGCTCCATGAACTGGTGTGCACTTATTTGACTGTTACCTCCAATGTACAATACAGACAAGTGGACACATTTTCTCACTTGGAATAGTGACTTGTCAGTCTTAAATGATTGAGATGAAATTACAAACCAGACTGATGCTTCTATGAGAGACTTGCTTGAGGTTTTACTCAAACTTGTACAAGAAAAGTATGGGAGAGGGTGTAGTTGCTGATACTTGCACAATGAATTTCACATTGAGTCTTGCTTGATCTGCACTTTGATCTTCCAGTATGCATATAACTGGAATCTCACCCTTGTAACACTAAAGAACAATGGATAATACAGATCTGCTCTGGGTACCACAGGTGGTTTCTGTAACACAGTTACTACTACAAATGGTGCATCTCTGGCATAACACGCTAGGTGAACGAAGTGGAAAATAATGGTGACTGAAGCATTTAATGGCAAGCTACAGTTTAGTTTTTTAAGTGAAATAGATGATGAAAAACACTGCACTTCCAGTCTGTTGCTTTCTGATGTTTCAGAATATCCCTGGTTGCAAGTCTCTAGCAGTGAAAGATGATGGTGAGAAGGTGCATTTGGTGACAGAAGTCTTGACCACAGCGTATCCCATGGTAGCACATTAACTTCCTTCTTGGTTTCGAGCTGCAGTGCTGTGGAGTGGGGTGTGCTCAGAATACTGAAAGACAGTGGCAGAGGAGCGTTCTCCCACGGCCATAGCCTGTAGGCTGCAACTTAACTGGAAGACTGCACCGCATGGAACCGTAAAGCATTTAAACATCACATTTTTAGCGACTCCTCTGATGGAAGGGGCAGGGGAACCGGGAGCTCAGTTCTAACAGAATAAGCAACCTTTTCCATGATGAAAAATGTAGATCTTGTGAAAGCTCAGCTTAACTGAATGACAACTTCAAGGCTGGCTAGTTGCTCTTTTTAAAAGTAAAATAATAATTTTAACTGCCTGACACTCTAGGAAAGATCTGGAAAACTGTATGTAATGCTCCTAGTTTGCTGTTTACAGCCAATATGGTACCAGCTTTCTTACTGAAGTCTGGAAGGAAAGTTAGGTTATAGATAAACTCATCTACAGCCAGGAGTGTTCATTAAATTGAAAGCAACTAAGTTCAGCAAATTTGATAATTTTGAAGTGCCTTTGAGATAGCGTCCTTCCAGCCAGCTTTAAATCGCTTTCTGCCAGTTAAAGGGTGAAAGCTCACAACTTGAACCAAAACCTGTTAGTTGTCTTCTAGGTCAGTGAAAGAGGCTGACCCCGCCAATCCTTCACGCACTCTGACTGGTGTTGGTCTGAACTCTCAGACCTCTGAGATTTCTAGGGAGTTTTGCTGGCAATGCTCCACTGCAGGGTACAAATGTGAATGGAGGCACTTGGTAATGTAGTAGTGGTCAATGCATTTCTAACTCCTTAAACTGCTCTTCCCTTTTTGTAGCATACTACAGTTGTGACCAAAAACCCCACCTCTCTCCCCCCTGCTGTGTGTAAGTGGTATCTGTTAACTTGAGACTCAAGTCTGCCAAGTGTTGAACAAAAAGGTAAATGGAAAACAAACCAACTTCTGTCCCTGGGAAGTGATGCTGTCAAACCAGGCTTCAGGCCCTTCAGCAGAGCTGCACGGGAAGTCTGTGGTGGTTCATACTGCAGCTTTTTGTTCGAGGCTGGATTCCTTTTGGTTGCAGTCATTCAGCACTCTTACACAAGCACAAAATGTGGTTTAGCTTAAGTTTTAACTTGTGTATCTGAAAACGTTGTAGTTGCTGTTTAACACCGCTAAGTGGAGTGAGAACGTTGTGTTGGAGGTACTAACAGCATAGCAAGCTGCTGGCTGAAAGCTGACGGATGCCTTAATGACTTCCTGTGCTGGAGATCAATGGCTTTTATAAGTTCTCACATAGTGCTTACAAATTAACTTGTACAATATGGGAGGCCAAGGCTGGGGTTTTTTTGTAGATCCAATGTTATTAGGCAAGTCCTTTTTTTCCTGTAACCAGCAGAGTTGTGTACTACAGCAAACTCACCTCTAGAAAAACCGAAGCTTGTATGAGTGACAGAAATAACTGAACCTTCTAATACCCGCTGCGAAATAGAAAAGGAAGGCGTAGAACAATGGCATTTTATCTGCGATGTTTGTCTGGAGTCACTGTAAAAATGTATTTTTCCAATATGCATTACTTTGTTGTGTAATGATTCTACTTGTAATAAAATGCATAACTAGATAATGCATTGTGAGGTGGAAACCTTGTTAAGTATCTTCTCCTGTAGAGACAGCTGCCCTTCTGCGAGCTCTCCTTTACAAGTCACAAAGAAAACTAGGGATGTAACACTCACTTGGGCATGGCAGCTTTTCCTTTCTTCTGAAATTACTCCAGGTATTCATTTTAACTTGAAACTGCTGCAACCG